TGGTTCCTCTTAGATTTCACGCTGGTTGCTCGGCGGCAGGACGTAAAGGCCAGCTTCAGCCAAACCCTAAACCCTAAACCCTAAACCCTAAACCCTAAACCCTAAACCCTAAACCCTAAACCCCTGAATAAAAAAATCCAAAACCCTAAACCCTAAACCCGCAGGAGCAGGCCTTGGCCACGACGGCCGCCCTGATCGAAGAGGTAGGAGTTTCCGAAAATTAGGGGTACCTTATTTTTGGGGTCCTTATAATAAGGATCCTAAACCCTAAACCCTAAACCCTAAACCCTATTTTCGGAAACCCCCAGGTGGACCTGCTCCAGGTCTCCACCAAGTCCCTGAAGCTCCCGGCCTTTTGGCTTCAGGGTTTACGGCTTAAGATTGTGGGGTTTAGGGTTTGAGGTTTTAGGGTTTAGGGCTTAGGGGAGTGGTCGGGTCTTAGATGGCTTTAGGATTTGTTTTTTTGGTAGGTCTTAGGTTTTACCAAGAAGATGGCAGCATCTGAGGACCCTCCTTCACAGCACAAGGAGGCCGGCTTACATCCAAACTCTGCAACCCCGAAGCTTTGGGTTTCTTAGAGCCATATAGGAGTTTCCGAAAATTGGGGTACCTTATTTTGGGGGTCCTTATAATTAGGATCCTATTATTTAGGGTACTATATTTGGGTCCCCTATTTTTCGGAAACCCCCATATGCGCCCACCGACTTCAGACGTGTTTGCGGCTGCAGCGAACATGGTCAGCATACGTGCATGTCTTTAATTTTCCAGGGCGTATGAGATAAGCCCAAAACAAAAACCGTCGCCCCGCCCCAATCTTGATGTGTCTCCCAGTCCTGCTGGCTTTACTTCCAGCTTTTGGGGAAAAATTCTCGGGGTGCCAACCCACGAACCACTTGAAGGTGATGCCCACCTTGGTTGCGATTCCGCCATGGTGTTAGTATCGGTTCGCCTCAAATCTCGCGCCAAAGCATTCAGCTCCAGCCTACCCTATTTCCCAGAGAGCCCAATAACCCTTATGAAAAAAAAACATACCTTGTAAATTATAGGTGCCTTAAAAGTTTTGATTTAAGGTATATCCTTGAATTAAGGGGTATTGGGCTCTCTGGGTTCCTTTTCCTTCGAGACTGCAGGTGGTTGCCATTACGGCCCAGGTGCCTTTGGAGGAGACGCGGTCGCCTTTTACGGGTGCGGAACGGCTGTAAGCTTGTCTTCGTCTATTACTGAGCCGCTGTTGCGTGCTACTTTGTTTGGTGATGTTTCTCTTCTGTTTTTATCTCTCTCTCTCTCTCTGCCTCTGTTTCGCCAACTCATGAATAATGAACCCATGGATTCCGCTTGAATCTGCAAGTGCCCAGCCGCCCAAGTCCCAGAACAGCCTGGTAGTGGCATTCGTGAGTGATAGTGCCACCCTAGGTCCTATCATGCTTGTGCCGTATCGGCGCAAAGCCGACGGCTTGAGTTCTCGGGTTAAACGGGTACTCAGGTTTCAGGCTTTAGGGATGTTTAGGGTTCTGGGGTTGGGGATTTGCGAGGTTCTCCGAAAGCCCAAGCCCACCTCAAAGGCTTCGACCCTGAACTCTAAAGGGCCCTGAACCCTAAAGTTTGGCCCTCCAGGAGAAGTCCACCGTTATGGCGGTGCCTTGCCGGCAGGGTGAAGAGGCTGTAGAGAGCCGAACCCCCGAATCACCCGAAGCCACCGAAACTCCGAAATCCAAAAAGCAGGGAAAGCCTCGGAGTGCAGCAACCAAAATATCCCCAAACTCCAAGTGCCATGCAGGGTATAAGCTGACGAAAGCTTGACCCTGTGCCTCAGATCCTCAACCCAATGCCCTAAAAAGCCTAAACCCTTAGCCGAAGTCCGAGTTTCCGAGCAGGGTGCTCCAAGATTGTCGGGACCCTTGAACAAGGCATCCGGGAGCCCCATAAACCTTATGAGGTACCCCTGATCTTGAGAAACCACCGTTCTGGAGTTTTCGAATCATCGCCTGATGTAAACCACTCTAAAACCCAAGAATTCTAAACCATAAACCCTAAACCCTAAACCCTAAACCCTAAACCCTAAACCCTGAACCCTGAACCCTGAACACTAAAGCCCCTGATGCCCTTCATGTGGGAGTCCTTGAGAAGCTCTGAGGCGAAGCCGACCGTTCCCAGCAGCACCCACAAGTAGCTGGGCTCGGGAGGGGGGGCTTCGGGTTGAGTGGGGTCTGGGGTTTAGGGGTTTAGGGGGTTTAGGGGTTTAGGGGTTTAGGGTTTAGGGTTTAGGGTTTAGGGTTTGGGGTCTGGGGTTTAGGGTTTAGCGTTTGGATGTGTTCCCGGAGTTTTGAGGGTTCGTTTTGGGCCTTGGCATTGGTGGAGCAGGCAGTTGCGGCGAGTCATCACGTTGAGCGTACAAGCACCCAGGCGAGGTCCATGCAGTCACACCGGGTGGCCATACCCACGCAGCCCTAAACTGCCCTTAAACCCTAAGCCCGACACAAAAAGCTTTAAACTGCCCTTAGCAGCCCTAAACCCTAAACCCAAAACTGCCCTCGACAGCCCTAATCCCCAAACCCTAACATGCCCTATAAAGGCCTTAAGCCCTCAGCCCCCAAGCTATGTAATCCGAAGGTTTCCGGGTTTAGAAGGTTTTAGGGGCTTAAGGTTTAATAGGATTGGAAGTCTTGGAGCTTTGTAGCCACAGTTTGGATCGTGTATTCCCAAAAGCTTCCCCTAAAAAGCTTCAAGGAAAGCTCCCAAGGGCGAAGAAGCTCTAAAGACCAGGAGGGCTCAGGGCTTGGGGTTTAGGGTTTACGGTTCCGGAACTAAACTACCAGACATCCTGTACCAGAAGAGCCCCTAAACTCTGAACCCTCTAAGCTTTCGTGTTTAGGGTTTAGCCCTTCTGCGCTGAAGCCCCAAACATAGGTGGCATTCCGCAGTTCATGTTTACCCAAGCTCTTCACCATGTATCCAGCCACATGGGTAGTTCTCTAAATTAGGGTCCCGTTTTGGGTCCACAATATAATACGGCACCCTTGTAAAAGGGACCCTAAAAGGGACCATAATATAGAAAAGTACCCACATGCTGACGATGCTGAAGATTGCAACTGCTGCTGCTGCTGTCAATTCGAAAGCAGCTGATACTGTTACCTCGAGTACCACTGCTCCTCCCGACAATCCTAAACCCTAAACCCTAAAAAAATGAAACTCTCCTCAGCGTGCGCCGAGGCGGTATCAGGCGCTGCTGCATGCGGACGTTCCGCTACCAGGCCCTGACAAGGGATGTTCGTCAGGTTGTGGCCACTGAGGGCTTTCCGGGGGTTCAAGGCTTTAGGGTTTGGTGGTTTGGGCTGTAGGGCTTTAGGATGTAGGGGTTTAGGTTTGGGGTGCGTAGTGCTCATCGTCATGTTTGTATAGTCCTTCGTCGCTTTAGTATAGATTCGTGAACGACGGGAGCGACAAACAGTCCCAAGTCGGAAGTAGATGTTGGATTTACGGCGGAGGGTTGCCAACGCCAAACTTTGTATATCAGTCGGGACTAGCAAGCCACGAGCCTCAAAAAGGGGTCGGTGGCAAACCGTCGAAGCCTTCACCTTATGAAAAAAGTGGAGCCAGAGGCCAAACCCTAAGCTCTAAACATGGCGAGTGGCACACCGTCCAGGTCCTAAACCCTTGCATCCTGGAATGGAAGAGCAACAAACGTCATGCGCAAAGTCCACTTGAAGGGCTTGAATAATTAAACTAGTGCTCTGCGGGGCTTTATCAATGCTATAAACATGCCAGGGAACCCGAACGAAGAACAGACCCTTCTTTTATCAAACCATACGAGCCGTCGACACTCTTTGTGGAAAGATCCTATAAAGTCTTTTTCAAAATGCCAAAAACGGGGGGACCCATAGCATGCCAGGACATATTGAGAGGTTGGCAGAGGAATGCCGCAGTGCAACCTTGAAGGCTGAAGGCTTCAAACAAAATGTGGGACTTACGAATTACAATGGGGTTTCAGGGTTCATAGCATCCTGACATGAAGGAACCCTAGCGAAAAGTAGCGACAAGCATCAGTAAGTCTTCAGGCCTCGTGCGTAAAGTCACAAAACGACTCCAAGCCCGGGCTTCGAGAATTGCGGCCCTGCTGGGTTGAGGGTGAAGCCGAGATTCTATGGTTTAGGGTTTAGGGCCTCGGAGGGTTTAGGGTTTTTAGGGGTTTTTGGGGTTTAGGGTTTTAGGGCTTTGAGGGTTTTTAGCGGTTTTCGGGGTTTTGGGGAGATCACTAAACCCTAAACCCTAGAAGCCCGAGACAGGAAAGATGGGAATCTCGAACTCCAGGAGGGGTTCTTGAGAAGGTCTCTTCGAAGCCTTCCAGCAGAACCAAGGAATGCAGCTCTAACCACCCATAAAGGACCGAAGTAGCAAAATCTATAGTGGCCTTCTAGAGCCCTTGCAAAGACCATGAACTTAGTCCAGGCAAGTCGCGCAGTCGACTGAACTGGAATGAGGGATTCCGCACGTGGTTTCCAGCGCTGCCTGGCCTCTTTAGGTTATGGTTCAGGTTTTAGGGTTTAGGGTTTAGGGGTTAAGGGTTTAGGTTTCTTTTGAGGGTTCCGTTTTGGGTCGTGTGAAAGGGCGTTCAGCGTTAGGGAATTGTTTGATGCATCGCGGCTTAGGGTCTAGTTAGGAGGGTTTGGGCAAAAGGCGACGGGTGCGAGGACGGGATTCTGGATCTACCCCTAAACCCCTAAACCCCTAAACCCCTAAACCCCTAAACCCCTAAACCCCTAAACCCCTAAACCCCTAAACCCCTAAACCCTAAACCCCTGAACCCTAGACCCTAACGGGCTCCAGTTCCAGGCGGAGAGCCGTAGTCCAAGGTACTTTCGGAGCCGGGTCTTGGGTTGGGAATTCCGAGCTTTGGGGGGGGTGTCAGGGTCCCAAGGCTTTTGAGGCTTAGGGTTTAGGGTTTAGGGTTTAGGGTTTAGGGTTTGAGGCTTCTGAGGTTCCAGATTTTTTTGATTTTTCCGAGGCTTTGCCTGCGAATCGTGACCAGCCGATGGTTTGACTATGCTATCGGATGCGTCATCTTGATCAACTCGCTCCTGGTCGGTCTAGAAGTTCAGTGGAGCTTAAGTGGTGGCAATGTGGAGTGGATGCAGCCGCTGGATACTGGATTCATTGCGCTGTATTTTCTGGAGCTCTGCATGCGGCTGGTGGGAATCGGTTGTCGGCAGTGTTTTTGCGATGGATGGTTCCTCTTAGATTTCACGCTGGTTGCTCGGCGGCAGGACGTAAAGGCCAGCTTCAGCCAAACCCTAAACCCTAAACCCTAAACCCTAAACCCTAAACCCTAAACCCTAAACCCTAAACCCCTGAATAAAAAAACCCAAAACCCTAAACCCTAAACCCTAAATCGTGGCAAAGCGCCGCAGGATCCTCAAAGCGAACCTCCCCAGGCTACGTTCAGGAACCCGGAAACATAAGCGAACCGAGCCCTCAAGCACCGCAAGCGGCAGCCCCGGCGAGCAAAGGAGGCGCTGCAGTCAGATCTGGCTTTGTTATTCTAGTACTTGCTTTATCGCAGATATATAAAGATGTATCTAATGCATCTATAATATGTATACATACATATATATATATATATATATTATATGGAGTAATAACCCTTCACATATACGACTCTCTTCTTTTGCTTGTGCGCACAGTTTCGGCAGACCTGCTTAACCCTCATCAAAAGCCTAAGCTGCTGAGGTGGCTCTGGGCATAGTGACGATCTTTGTGCTGATGCTGCTCGGTCCGAGTGGGAATATCTTATTGCACTTGCATGATTGAGAATTCGTCATGAACTCTTCGATTTCTCCATTACTGAATCTCAAAGGCCCCAAACCCTAAACCCTAAACCCTAAACCCTAAACCCTAAACCCTAAAAGCCAGGTTCGGCTCCAGCGGCGACCTCGGCATCCTCGAGTCAGTTCTGGTGGTTCGCGCGATGCGCCTCCTACGCCTCATCCGGGCGCTCCGGATGCTGAAGTACTTCAGAGACTTGGACTGCTGGGGTTTAGGATTTAAGGTTTAGGGTTGAGGGTTTATGGTATTTCAGAGACTTGGACCACGAGTTGGGAGTTTGGGGCTAGGGTCTTGGGCTACTGGGGTGTAGGATTTCAGGTTTAGGGTTTGGGGTATTCCTGGGTTTGGGGTTTAGGGTTTAGGGCATTTCGAAGACTTGGACTACTAAACTGGGTTTGGAGTTTAGGGCTTCAGGGCCTTTCAGGGACTTGGACTACGAGAGTTTGGGGTTTGTGGTATTTCGGAGACTTGGCCTACTAAGCTATGTTTGGGCCTGCTCCTCCTACTACTACTACTACTACGACGACGACGACGACTACTACTAGTGCTACTGGTGCTCGTCCTCCGAAGACGTGGAGGTGGAGGTGGTGGTGGTGATGGCGACGACCAGGACGAGCCAAGGTGGTCCTACTCCCAACTGCCATTTCCGAATATTTGGGATATACACACAGTATACACCAACATCCGAAACTCTAACCATAAACTCAAGGCCCCTTTAAAGGAACGTTCAACCGGAGCCTCTTCTAGCCGTTAAGGCCGCTATATCTTCCTAAGGCTCTGGTTTTTTTGTGCCTTTGGCTCAGTTCTCTGGAGCTCTGAGCCGCGTCCTTGAAGAAAGGGTGTTTTGTCAGGTGTAGTATTTGGGGATTAGGGTTTGGGGTTTGGGTTCAGGGTTTAGGGGTTTAGGGTTTTGGGGCCCTGGAAACTTGAGAAACCGGGAAAGTTCTTAGACCAGATCAGCATCGAAACCTCCATCCCAAGTGCGGGAGGCCGATGCTCCCCAGAGCCGGGTTGCTGGCAAGCTCTACGTATCTTGCCCGCTGCTAAGGAACGGTTTGGCGACTGGTGTATGGGCTGCTCACATCGCACAACGCCCCTGTTCTCAAAGCATTGTGTTGTGGTTTGGGATTTCAGGGGTGTATGGCTTGCCCTTTGAACTTTACGATACAGGGGCGGGGTTGGAGTGGCGCAGCAGGGAAGTTGGAAGGTCGGATCTTGCTTCTTCTGCACAGCAAAGACCCGAGCCCTTTGGGCTTAGCGCTGTCGTCAGGCCATGTTCTCGACCTTGTCGCTGATTCTGCTGACCCTGTACGTCTTCGCTTGCCTGGGGGTGGTGCTTTGCTGCAAAGCGTCAAACTTTCGACTCCCAACATTTAGTCAAAGCATCAGCACCTTATGACAGTTATAATTATAGTGCAGTATCCCCCAAACTACACAATTATGGTTATGGTCATAGTTATGGCGTAATATCTCCCGACATGTCGAAATATCCCACACACCGATGCCAGGAGCTCATCACCAAGGACGAGCAACTCTTGAACAATCCGGTCACGCTCCTTGGTTCTAGTTAAGGAACTTTAAACTCAATTTACCAGAACAGGGATCTATAGTGAATCATGTATCGTTTTTCTCAGTATATCATTTACCCAAGGTCCTTCGTACGGTAGCTTCAATTACCTTCCAAAGCAAGAGCCCAGGCTTGCGATCATCGAGAACCACTTCGACTCGGTGATCGTGTCAATGCTGACGCTGGTGCAGTTCGTCACTGTAGATTCGGCTGGGGCCCTGGGACTGCGATGCTTCGCGATTTAGGTTTCAGGGCTACACCACTCAGAGAACCTCTCCGAGCAGGGTTGCCGTGGTGCAATCGCTGTTTCAAGCGTTCTCGCTGTCGCTTGGGGAAGCTTCAAGTTCAAGCATTCATTGGTAGTTCTCCACACGTGCACCGGTACAACCTTGCGAATTCCAGACTTGTTGGCCCAGTACAGTCTAAACCCTAGTTACCACAGCTAGCAGGTTCCCAGTCACCGAGCAAAAAAGCTTCAGTTTTGAATGGGAAGGGTTTCAGAACTTCCGAGGTTGCACTGATCTACTACCCGCTCGTCAAGCTCAAGCCGATTCTCTCAGTCTACTTCTTCGTGCCGGCCTCAGAAGTGATTGCTACAACATGATATCTTTAGGGACTCTTTGGGGTTGAGGGTTTGG